CCCAGAGGCGTAGCATGCTGGGAGGCCTGGCCTGGGCCGAGGCCAGCAGTAAACCGCTCCCATCCAGAGCCAGGGCAGAAACCTGGAGGCGGCGGCACATTGAGGGGATGGGACAGCACTGGGCCCGCAGGCATGAACCTCCCCTGGGATGGTGGGAAGTGCCCACCTTGTCCGTGTGGCCAAGGAAGCAGCGCTGTTCCCGGGTGTCAAGGCGCAGGACGACGATGACCGCGTGGCAGGGATACACCACAGCAGCGCCATCCTTGGTCCACAGGGCCTGTGCACAGGGGCCAGACCCAGACGTCCCGGGCTGCTCAGCCTCTGCCCGCCCCAATCCCAGCACAATCCCTGTGTGTCAGGAGCGTACACACTTATGCAGGATGTCCCCAAACCCTGTCTGTGGTATTAGAAACTCCGGAGTCGAAGTAGAGAAACACCAAGACCCACAGACACTCAGACGGCGTCTAGAAGGACCCGGCAAGCACAGGGCCACAGACCCAAAACCGGTGCCCACACCAGCCCCGCACACCAGACAAGCATCAGAGCCTCACAGTACACATGCGAGCTCTCAGGTTTAGGGAAGCTCTTGCACCTGGGCCCATGGTCACGCGGCCTGCGCTCAGGACAGAAGGAACGGACACTGGGATGGGACCCCCGCGCTTCCGCCGAGCGAACGCAGAGCCGTGCGCAGACATAGGCAGGGCCGGGAATCCGCGGGGTGGGGGGAGGGACTCCACACCCTGAGGACGCTTAGACATCCACGTAACCACACTGGGGAAACACAAGCTTTTCCCACTGCCCCCTCTGTATGACTGACGCTCATGCGACCCAGAAAGAGCACGGGACCCCTCACCCATTTGGTGGTGTGGCCCCCAAAGCCGATGACTCCCTTGAGCCTCAGGACGGGATCTGGGAGAAGGCTCTGAAACAGGCAAACTTGCACTGAGACCCCAGGAGGTGAGGCTCCTGCCCCCTGGGGCCCCAGCAGCCCATGCTGGCTCCTCCCTCCCAGAAGCAGCATAGTCCGGGGGCTTCTGCCAGCTGCACCGGGCCAGGAACCCAGGACCTGGCCTCAGTGCCAGACCCTTTGGGGAGCCCAGCTCCGGCCCCTGCCTGCAACCCAAGGCCTCCACGGATCACCTGGTGCCTCCAGACCCTTTGTGGGAAGAGACTCTCGTCCAAAGCCACCTCCTGCCTGTGCTGCTTTCCGTGGGAAGGCTGGATAACGACAGGTTTCAGAGACCCGGCAGACCTTCCCCACACCTCATCTAGGCCTCACCCACGTTGGTGAAACGGCTTACCCCTCACCTTCCCCGGGGTAGGCACTGACCTCGTGCACGGCCACACCCTCCGGGGCCACCGGCACCACGGTCCGCTCAGGAGCGGGCACGTGAACACCCCCGCCGGCCGCATGCTTGTCGGTGACCTCCGGCCTGGCTGAGGGCTCTTGGCTACGGTCACTGGGGCCATTCACACTGGGGAGCTCTGAGCACTCACAGAACACGCTGACCTCTGGAAGGGGCCTGGGCTCCGAGGGGGCCTGACAAGACAGCAGGGGCACAAGCGCCTGTCAGCACCCTGAGGCTGCCACCCTCCAGCCCCGCCCCCAAGGACACAGGAGCACTCACGGCTACGGGGCCACACCTGCACCACAGAGGGCACACGGTCCTGGACGGGATTGCTGAAAGCCACTGGGCGAGAGAGAACCTGCGGCGCGCGCCCCAGGAAGTCTGGAATACAGCCAGAGGCCACAGGAGCCGCTCAGCAGAGGGTACAAGGCCTGGGGAAAGCACGGTCCCAGGGCCTCACCCACTCCTGCCAAGCCACAGCCGCAGGCCACTCTTCTACCCCGGGCCCCAGAACGCCCTCCTAGCTGGAAAAGCTGAGAACACCAAGCACCTATACCTCCCACACGGAGCCGGCATCTCAGGACAGCCTCGAGGCGAGCCCTGGGCCCTGTGGGTACCCCCCTGCCAGGGTCGCCACCCCCAGTATCAACACCCCCTCCCGCAGAACTCCACGCCCCTGCAGGCCGGAGCCCAATCCCTGCTGCCCTCACAGGCCCACCTGCCTCAGGAGGCGAAGAGCTCTCCTGAGCCAGCTCGGAGGACACTCTGAAGCTGTCTCTGGGAAACCTTGACAGGGTGGAAGGAAAGTCAGTGTCCAGCGACCAGCCCGCCGTCCCTTCGCCAGCCTCCCGCAGGACGGGCGGAGCCGCTCACCGGATGTGGACATAGTGGTCATACCAGCTCTCCCCCTTTGGCACCGGGAATGCCATTTCTCTCGGTACAGGTACGACAGGCAGCTTCGCCCGCCGTGCCTCAGCAGTGCTAACAGCTACAGAGGACAGAGCCGGTCCAGGGAAGGAGGCCCACCCAGCTCCCTCTTCCAGCCCAGGCGAGTCTCGACACCAGACGCCACCAGCCCAGCCACAAACACCCCCTGCCCCCGACAGGTGCCTCGGTTGCTGGGGGGCTCCAAGATGGCACAGCACATGCGTTTCTGTTGTGGGCCCGGCTGTCAGCCCCTTCTGCTGAGGAGGAGAGCAGGAGCAGGCCGGGGGCATCAGCACGGCACTCACCAGGGTCAAAGCACAGGTCACTGGTGTAGAGACTCTTCACCAGCAGACTAGCACACAGCCTGACGCTCTTGAGGTGGCCGTAGCACCGGTTCAGGTACAGGAGCAGGACGTCCCGCAAGTCCAGCTGTAGGTATGTCCACCGGGTACCAGAGGGAGCGACACCGGCCGGCTCTGGAGAGCGTGAGCCAAGATCAGCGCCCACAGTCTCACCAGCCAGCCCACGGCACTCTGTACTTGGCCAGCCCCAAGCACGGCATGCCCCCCACCTCCCTCTCTGCTCTCAGGCCACCTCTCCAGGGCTACTGCCCCCACTCACGCCCCATTTCGGCATCACCTTTTAAAGAAAACCCAGCCTCGCAGATGAAGGGAAACTGCAGCCACGTGGCCGTAGACTTGAACTCCTTGAAGAGGTTGGAGAAGGACACACGGATGACCTGGCTGTCCTGCAGGGCACAGCACGACCATGAGGAGACGAGAGTGGCTGCGAGCGTGCACCCCCACTGACCCCACTCCCCCAAGCTCTGCACCTCGGTGGCCACATCCAGGTGGATGACGAAGTGCTTGGCTGGCAGGGGCTTGAAGAGCACGTACAGGTACCGGCCCGTCAGCCCCAAAGACTGGGTGCTGGTTCTGGGGAGCTGGATGTAACTGCTGGCAGAGACAGGACCCCGGATGCGGTACACGGTGCACTTCAGAGTTTTATCCTGAAGACAGAGAACGGGGAGGCAGCTCGGTCCACCCATGGACGCCACAAAGGGCACCACCGGCGTGACCCTCGGGTGGCTCTAACGGTTTCTCGGGAGGGCTCAGACGGGGTCCCCACGGCTGCTGCTGGCCCCGGAGGCCCACTTACGGTCACAGGAGCCACATCGCCCTCCTTAGTGGACCGCTTCCACTCGCCCACCTGGAAGTGTCTGAAGACGTTGAGGAACGGGTGCTGCCACACTGGGGAGCCAGGAAGGTGTGAGGACCCCCGCGGGCGTGAAGTCGCGTCCCCAGATGCCAGACCCCCGCCGGCGAGAAGGGGCGTCGTGCGGCCGGGCTCCACACCTCCCAGGGAGGGGCCAAACCCTGGGCCTGCGCTCCACCCGCCCCCATCTCCGCGCGGCGACAGCGATACTGTGCGCCATCCCGCGTCCTCCCGCCGACCACGGCCTCGGCAGCGCGGACTACCGCCCGCACCGAGCCCCGTCCCCCCGACGCGGACCCCCGGTCTCCACCGCGCCGCCGCCCCGCCCCCGGCCCTCGCCGCCCCGGGCCCCGTTCCCGCCCCCTCCCGCACCGACACCCTGCCCCCGGCCCCCCGGCCCGGGCCCCCCGCGCGCCGGTACCTTTCGCCATGGCGTAGCCGCTCGAACTTCCCGCCTCGGCCGCCGCGCGCTCCACGCAGGGCACGCAGCGCGCGCTTAGCAACGGCCGCCTGGCAACGGCGCCACGCCCACCGCCCTGCGCACGACGCCACGTGACCGCGACGGGGTTGGCCGCGCGACGGCGCGGCGTTGACCACGTGACCGCGGTGCGCGCAGAGCCGGGTCGCGTGACCGCGGCGGGGCAGGACGCAGGCCGGGTCCGCGGTGGGCGGTGTCGCGGCCCGGAGCTTCTGCGGCCACTTCCAGGCCAGCCCCCTGTGGCGATGCCCTAGCACGGCCGCGGTGGGGACTAGGCACGTGCGCGGCGCTCTGGGGCCCGGTCTGTATGGGGAAGGACACGCACCGGTGTTTATGGGAGTGCGTTTGACAGCGGCTGCCCACACCCCCGATAGCCCGCTGGGCTCCACCCTACGGCCTGCAGCCCTCTAGCGCCCACACCTGACGTGCCCCACTCCGGTCCGCAGGCAGTGCCACCCACCGGAGAGGCAAAGCGGTGTCCCCCAGAGCCACTCGGCCCCGGGGGGTTAAGACACAGGACTAAGGGGCACCTGGGTGGCTCAGTGGGTTAAATCCTCTGCCTTCAGCTCAGGTCATGAGCTCAGAGTCCTGGGATCGAGCCCCACATCGGGCTCTCTGCTCGGCGGGGGGCCTGCTTCTCTCTCTCTCTGCCTGCCTCTCTGCCTACTTGTGATCCCTGTCTGTCAAATAAATAAAATCTTAAAAAAAAAAAAAAAAAAGACACAGAACTAAGCATCGGGAGATTCGGCCCCACTCCTGGGCCTCTGGGATGCTATCTCCTGGCCAGGTGCTAATGACTGTGGATCGTGAGATGGGGCTCAAGCCCCGGCTGACAGAAAGCTGGGTGGTGCTGGGTAAGGTCCAGTGACACCCAAGAAAAGATGAGCTGGCCCAGGGCCCCAGCACCTGTCAGGACACAGGAGGGCTAGAATTGGGCAGAGCTGCAGCTGTGGGGCCAAGGAAAGGTTAGGCTGGACTTAGTGTGAGGACCCTGACCCCGTCCCCACACCAAATAAAGACCACTCAAAAAGGGCAGTTTCTCAAATTTATTAGCCTGGAGCTCCTCCCTGCCAGCCCCAGGGCCTGGACCCTGGGCACAGTGAGCAGGACTGAGGTCAGACAGATTCAGCTCCTGGCCCCTGGCAGCACACGAAAGCTGGTCCAAGGGGTCACCAGGTGCAAAAGTCCAAATGCTGGCACTTCAGGTGTGGATGGCTCCTGGCCAGACTCAGTGTGAGGGACGGTCTGCCGCAGTGGCTACACAGGACTCCGACGTCCTCTCCTGGCGGGGGGGCGAGGTCCACCACAGGGCAGAGCCAGGCCCTGCACGGACACTCCTTCCAAGGCAGCTAGGAGCAGTTCGTGATTCTGGCCAGGAACTGCTGCGCCCACCACTCGTCCAGGTCAATGGGCACGAAGTCTGTGGGCAGAGCAGAAGGCTGGGCAGTGAAGCTGCCTCCTGGATCAGTCAGTGTCTCTCCCTCAGAACTGACCACAAGCCCCTCCCCCACACCCAAATGCAACAAGCACTAGGAAGTAGCAGGTCAAGTTCAAGTGCCCTCCCCAATCCCCTAGGGCTAGAACCCAGCAGGGTCCAGGTCAGGGTTGGAGGGAGTGGAGGGGACTCCCTGAGAGCAGGGGAGGGCTCACTCTGCAGCCGGGGGTTGGGGGTCTTCTCCACGTACTGCACAGGCCTAGGCCCACTAGTGCCAGCTGGGCCACTGCCCAGCTGCTGCTCCACTTGCTGCCAAGCTGTGGGGAGAGGACAGTCAGGCTGAGCCAGGCCCCTGGCATCCTGTCTCCCACCCAGGGCTCGGTGGCTACCCTGGACCCCAGCCAAGAATGGCAATGGGGAGCCCACCAGACAATCACAGGACGAACAGGGAGACAGTCTAGGAAGAGCCCGGCCCTCTAGGTACTTTAAATCAGGTCACAGTGGGGAGGAGGAACAGGGACCCAGACCTCACCCTCCGGCCTTGACACTACCTTCAGAAACAAACCGGACGTTTTCCTCATGGGCCAGTGTATAAGTCTCTTGGGTTCCCTCAAGGGATGGAGATGTGGCAGGGGGCCGCCGGCCATTCACCCGATTGAACACAAGCCTTGGCCCTGGACTGTGGAGGGGGGAGGAGACGGTCAGCAACTGTCCCAAGCCTTAAGGTGACACCTGGCAAAGCTCCAGGAGCAGCAGCAGGCCACACCCACCACCCCCAGGCCAGGCCCAGCCTGGGCACTTCCTTGACATTCAGGGTAGCTCTGTGCTGCCGTGGGGGCGGGGGAGGCCTCTCTCCTGCAGGCCCAAGCTCCCAGCAGCTCGAGTCACACCTGCAGTCCCCAGTCCTGTGTCCCAGACCCCCAGCAGGGCTCCGTGCTCAAGGCACACAGGCACTCCTCCAGGGGTCTCTCGGGTACCCCTACTGCCACCTGCATTCACCTCCCCAGGACCAGCCGGGTCTCCAGCAACCCATGTTCGGCCTAAGCTACAACCACATCACTCTGACCCAGCCACAACTGGCCAGGCGCGATTCTCGGCCGTCTTCTCCCCCCACAGAAGCTTCTCCATCTCACCACTGTCCCGTGTGGGAGAAAGGACCCAAACAAGAAACAGCCCATCTTGGCCCTTCCCTCTTCCTGGCTGTCCTAGGCTCCGTGGGGATGAGCCCTAAGGGATGTTCTGGCCAAAGAGCACTGAGTGGAGAAGTTGTGACTTTAACCCCAGCCCAGCTCTGCAGGTCCCAGACAGGCAACACTCTTGCCCATGGGGGTGGGGATGCTGGGTGAGGAGATGGCCCCCAGGCGCTGGAGCTCAGCCTGATGGGCATGGGATATCCAGGGAGCCACTGGGCCTGTCCCGCTCAGTGATCAGCGGGGCCCAGGGCAGTGATGGGCTGCCCTTGCTGGCGGCAGCTGGCCTAGCCCTGCACACACAAAGCCCAGAATGGGGCTGTGGAGGGAGCGGGGCCCGCACCTACAGCAGGAGGTGGGAGCCGGGAGTCCTGGGCTGCACGTGCCGCTCCGCCAGGCACTCGCGGTCCCGCCGGCCTGCTCGCCTTCCTGGGCTCAGGTGCCCCACCGCCGCTCGGGGGTCCTCCTTGGCTGAGAGGGGCACTAAAATAAAGAGGAGTGTCTTGAGGGGCACCGGTCCCGCCAGCTCCAGGCCAGCGAAGAAACTGTAGCGGGGGCAGGGCTCCTCCCAGGCCTGAGCTGCACCGACCAGAACCTATGAAGGTTTGTCCTCAACCTGGACAGCCCCTCACCTGCCACCCCCACCCCCACAAGCCTGCAGACTCCAGGAAAGTGGAGTAGGAAAGCAAAGTAGGAAAACCGGAAAGGGAATTGCAGCCATGGGCTATGGCCCCCGGGGACCAAAGCGGTGGCCTGCCCAGGGCTGAGCACAGTGCTAGTAGGCAGACACCCACCTGAGCACCCCCCCCAACCCCGCTGTGAGTTTGTTACATAAGGGTGCCGCACAGGCCCTCTGGGGAAAAGGGCGCTGGTGCGTGTGCACTTGCTGTGCACGGGGTGTGCACACTCCTGAGGGCTGTGCCTGCTCCTGCGGATGCCGCCCCACAGGCCGGCCCCGGTGTCCCTGCTCAACCCACACAGTCCTCTCCAGTCCTCGCAGTCCTCTCCAACCCCACTTCCAGCCCTGGGCACTGGGCTCCAGAGGGAAGTGACCCACCCAAACTCACACCCTGCAAATGAGCACTAGTTCCAGAACATAACCACACAGCTGCCTGACCTCAAAGCCCACAACTCAGTAACCCAGGCCACCTCCCTGACCTCCTCGCGTGACCTTCTGGGGGGGGGGGTCACCGGGTGCCCTGTTATCGTCTTCCCACCCACGGATATCACCTTTCCTGTCCTCTGCTGTCTGTCTCACAATGGGAGCGAGAGCTGCTCAGAGGCACTGCCCCATGGAGGGCTGGAACCCCAGCCTGCAGAATCAGCAGGTCAGCCGTTCTGAGCACCGGCAACGCGCCAGACACCCCAGGCGTGGAGGATGCGGCCGTGGCCCAGACACCCCCTGTATCGTGGGCAAGGCAGGGTGAGGGATGCTAGATAATAAAAAGGCACTACAGAGGAAAAAAACAAGGAAGGACGGACAGAAAGGCAGGTGGAGCTCTTTCGGAGGCGGCCCCCTGAGAAGGTTCAGGAGCGGGGGCAGGGAGGGCTCATGGGCAGCACTGGCCTCCCAGCAGGGTCATTTCGAGGCCACGGGGACTGGGAAGGGGCAGCTCTGGAAGAGGGAGTGACCTCGGGGGCAGGGGAGCCAGCCTGCCACCCCGGGGCACGCAGCAGGACCCCCAACCCTATGCCGCGCAGGGCTGAGGCAGGCCGAGTATTGCACTCCCTCTGGCCAGGCTAGTCAGCACCCTCCTGACCCAGCAGGCTGGGATGTGCCCAACTGGCTGAGGGCCAGCTAAGGGCGAAGGTGAGGCCTGGGGGTATGGTAAGGACTCTATGTCATCTTTCCCAACTCCCTCCACACCACTCCCCGACCCTGCCATGGGTGCACCCTGATTTCATCTGCAATGGGACTGTGTAGAGGGAGGTGACGCGCTTCTCCAGGGGAGAGGGTCCGGGTGCCCGGCACCACTGGGCCCCCAGGTCCTCTGCCTGGGTGACCAGTCGCAGCTACACATGTACACCTTGTTTACTCCTCTGGGCAGTAGGGCAGCTGTGAGGACCAAAGCTGAGGTCACAGGGCGATATTCTAACACAGCCTGGGTCCCAGGAAGGCCCTCAAGGTCCTGCTTGCTCACCAGTCTCCCCAGGACACATCGGTGGTTAGCCCAGAATGTTTTCATCACTAGGAAGCAGCCTCAAAATGTCAACGTGCCCCCAGCAGAAGCCCCCTTCCCCCCGCAGGGAAGGGCCTCAGCCCAGAAACACCCCCACAGGTTGCCCCCTCCTGCCAGGCCCCCATCACCTGTGCCCTCAGAGCTGCCTCGGGGGGCCCTGAGTCAACCACCCTGTTTCTCTGCGGTGCCTACCCACAGCCTAGCCCAGGAAACCTCAGGCCTTTGTGGGCTTGGAAGAAAGCCCTGGGACCAGAAAACGCACAGAATAAATGAAACCCAAGGTCCAGAGCTGACACAAAAAAATGAACTCTGGGGCATGGGGGGAATCTGACCTCCTGGTCAAGGTCATGTGGATGCCAAATGGGCCAGGACGCACATTCCTGTGGGGCACTGGCGGAAAAGCTGGTCAGAAAAGGCAGGAACTGCAGGTTCGGGCAAGGCCTGAGCATCTGTGGGAGGCCTCCAGTCCCCAGCCAGGGTGTCCGGGGTGAAGGGCAACGGAGAGCAGGGGCCTGGTAGGGCCACAGGGAACCCCGTGCACTTTCTCCCCCAGCCTGCTCTGCAAGGACGGGGCTGGCAGCCTCCCGCCCGGCCGGAGCCAGGAGGCCTCGAGGGCCCGCACCCTAGGGTATTTTGTTCCCGCCTTCCTTGGCAGCTCGCCTCAAACCTTGGCCTCGCCACCCAAGGTCGCCCGGAGCATCTGAGTCAGCCGCGTGGAGCTCCTGCGATCCCGGAGCTGGTCCGCTTCCTCCCCACTCGGGCTCCGCCACGGTCCCACGGGGCCAGAGAGAGCGAGGGGTTCGTGTGCATCCGGCCCAGCCCCCTCCGACCCCGCCAGGTGCCAGGTGAGGCGGAGAGGCCGAAGCGCCGAGGGCGGAGGCGCGGAGGCCGGAGCCGCCCGCGCGGGCGGGGTCACACGCTCCGCCCCGCGCCCGCCCCGAGCACGCGGCCGGGTCTCCGTGAACCTTCCCCAAGGTCAACCTCCCGGTCCCGCGGCCGCCAGCGGCCGGCCCGCGCGTCTCACCTCGACAGGGGCCAGGGTCCCGGCGGCTGCGCCCGCGGGGGCGCTGGGGTCGGCGGCGCGGGCTGCCGGCATTTCAGGAGCTCGCCGAGCCGGCTCTCCACCTGCTGCTGCGAGGGACCTGCGGGCACCGGGCGCGTCAGCCGCCGCCGCGCCCCGGCCGTCACTGCGCGGACCCTCCCCCCGGTCCTGCCCGCCCCGCGCCCCGCGCACCTGTGCGGCGCTGCGCGACCAGCTTGCTGGGCCCCTTGGTGATGGTGTACATGGTGCGGAGGGCCCGGCCGCCCGCGCGTTCCCCGGGACGCACGCCCTGCCCTGCCCTCCGCCCGGGCTCGCACTCGGCGGGGGCCCAGGGCGCGGCCCCTTTAACGGGCGGCCGGGCGCGGCGGGGAGGGGGCGGGCCGCTACACGCCCCCGGCCCTTAAAGGGCCCGCGCGTCCCGGCCGGCCTCGGGGCACGCGGCGGAGGCGGCGCTCCGGCCGGGGGGTGGGGGGGAGGCTGGTCGCGGCGCGCGGCCACGGGCGCCCCACCCCACACGGCCCAAGGCCAAGGCAGAGGAAGCGTCCTGGGGCCTAGGACGGCCTTCCACCACCGGAAGGCCAGGTGAGCCGCGGGGGCGGGGTGCGGGGGTGCGGGGGTGCGGGCGGGGTGTCGTGGACAGGCGCTAGGGGCGCTCTGTGCGGACCCTGGAAGCAAAGTAGTGCCCACTCGGTGGGAAGCTCCAGCCAAGGTGCCTGGGTGGGCCCGGGCCAGCGTGAGGGTCATTCTTGGCCTGGGCTTTGGGGCTGAGGGCCAGAGACCAGAAATGGGTTTGGGCAGAAACTTGCCACCCTGGGAATCTCCTTTCCACCCTGCGGGACAGGAATAGTGGGTGCACTCTGGTCCCTGACGAGCCTCCCTTGCCAAGGCGCACCCCCAGCTCCAGGGACGGGAGGCCCCATTCAGTCTAGGAGCAGCGTGGGGGTGGGATCTTGCGCAGAGAGAAGGTGGGCGTGTGAGGATGACCGGTTTGCCTGTTTCATCCCCATTGGAGGGGAGCAGTTACCTCCCTGACCCGCATGACCCAGGCGGCCTGCCTGGAATGACCCCCAGGGTTCCTTCCTGAGAATTACACAGAAGTGCCCCTTTCTCCCAGGTGCCGGGCTGCTCAGGGCTAGGGGAGAGGAAGCTGCCCACCCTGGGGTCTGTGGGCCTCACCACCTGGAGGGCTCCACATGAGGCTCCCCTGTCCTCCCTGTGGCTGAGTTCAACCCTTAGCATCCCCCCCAGCGGAGAAAAGACTCTGCAGAGTTGTCTTGGAATCTGCCCCGAGGCGTGTATGGACGCGGCAGGGCTCACACGCTGCCCCACAAATATTTGAGGATGCCCAGTCCAGCAGGCACTGGGGCCTTGTCGGGGAGCTGCCGCCCCAAGAGGCAATAGGACTTAGCAGGGCCATGAGGTTTCCTCAAGTGTCCCCCACACCTCACTTTGGGAGCAGACCTGAAGCCTCTCCACCCAGGCAGAGAGCACAATGTTGAGAGGGGTGGGGGGCAGCACCTGTTGGGGTGTGTGGGGGAGTGACAGCAGGAGGAACTCCCTCCCCACCTGCTCTGTGCAGTGTCCCTTCCCAGCTGTGGTCCCACCCCCGCCCCGCTGTTGTGACTGCTGGAGGGAGCCAGGCCGCTCAGGTGCGTCTAGGGGGGGGCCGGGCCCCCCCCCCCCCCCCCCCCCCCCCCCCCCCCCCGCTTTCTCCTCCCCAGGCTGAGCTGGGCTGGGTCAGGCCTGTGATCCTCAGAGGGGAGACAGGGATCCCCCCCCCCCCGCATGAGCATGCCCCTCCCTCCCAAGGCAAGTGGGTCCCTGCCCAGCCCCCCACCATGCACCCCTGCAGTGTCTGTCCCTTGTTCCCCGCCACCCCCAAGCAGAGTCAAGGCCAGCATGGTCCCACACACCACCGGTGCTGGCTTGCCTGGCCTTGAGCACACTGCTCACTCACATGCTGGGGAGACAGCACACGGTGAGGGGGTGGCTGTGTTCCTGACACAGGAAGCGAGGCCCTGGTGTGGGGAGCATGGGCCCCCAAGTGGACCCAGACGCTGAAAGTCCCTCCTCGGACACACTCCTCAGGCCTGCACCGACAAGGCCCCCTCCTCCTGATGGGCAGACAGGCCTAGCATTTGCTTAAGCCATCTGAAAACCAAGGCTTGTAGGCCCTGACCGCCAAGCCCTGCCCACAGGCTTGTTAGAGGTCAAAGGTTGGGTCCAGAAACCTCAAAGCTCTGGGGAGAAGAGCTGAGCAGAAATGATCCTGACAGGTGAGAGGGGAGAAGGTGCAGGGGCAGCAGGGAGGGCGGGGGGGTGAGGGAGAGCCCAGTGGTCCCCCAGGTAGATGAAGGAGGAGGAAGGCCAGGTGGTAGGGGGCAGGCAGTGAAGCTCTCTGTACCTGTTGGGGGGCTGGTCTCCCCCAGAGGGGCCTTGCCAGCCTCACTGCTCCAGGGCACGCAGTGTCGGGGGAGGGTGATGGGTATGGGACCTGGGGACCTGGGGAGCTCAGAGTTCTGGTCCCAGCCTCATTGACCTTGCCTGGAAGGCGGGTCGGCTGGGAGGCCTCTGTAGGGAGGGGTGGTCACCTTCCCCGTGGTTGGGGAGGTTGGGAACCTGTCCCCAAGCCAGTGGTGCGGGACGAAGGGGCCTCATCCACTCACAGATAAAAGTGGCTATCAGGGTAAGACAAGGCCTTTACCTCACAGATTCCACTCATGGTAAGAAAAGCAAATAGTAGTTTTCTTTCAAAGATTCTAAATACAATACTAAAACTTTATCTGAAAGAGAAGGAGGTTTTTAGTCATTCTCAGAAACTTTCTCCATCGGAAACCTCTGCCCTCTCCAACGCAGAGCGGACGATGGGCAGCCCTCCCGGAAAGGCACTGTGGGCGCTCCTGTGTCCACTGCCCAGTGTCGGGGATTGCTTGGCCATTCCCAGACCTAAGTGCAGGGGGTTGAGTGGTGTCCCCCAAAAGCTGCGTCTCCTGGGAACCTCAGAATGTGACCTTATTTGGAATAAAGGTCTTTGCAGATAGAAGTTCGGCAAGGTTTCAAGATAAGGCCATCCTGGATCGGGATGGGCCCTAAATCCAGTCACGTGTCTCTGTGGGAGGAAGGAGAGGAGCGTGTAGACACCAGGGAGAGATTAGGTGAAGGTGGGGGGAGAGTGGCCGCAGCCCCTGGCAGCTGGAAACGGTGAGAAACCATCTTCCCGGAGGGCCTCTGGAGGGGCAGACCATCTTTATCTCAGACTTCTGGCCTCCAGAAGGATGGGAGGATAAACATCTGTTGTTTGAAGCCTCGGAGTTGGGGGTCATTTGTTACAGCCGCTCTAGGAAGCCCGTGTATCAGGGCAAGTGGTGGTGTCTGAAGGGATGGGAAGGGACGTGCCCGGGGCCTGGCGAAGGGCTGGGGAGGAAGCCTGCACCCCCATCAGGGCCTCCTGCCTATCTGCTTGTGGCTTCCTACGCAATAGAGATTGCATCGTGCATGTAAACGCTCACCGCGAAAGGGGGCCCGTGCTGGCATCACACAGCGGGTGGCAAGCTCAAGAGGGCTGCCCAGGAGCTGGACTCCGCCTCAGGAGACAAAATCCTAGTAGGCCCCACCAGGCATAGGCCATGGACGGGGACAGACACATCCAGGGGTCCGCTGTTCAGCATTCACTGCGGGTCCGGGACTCTCCCGGAGTCTTGACACACAACCGTGACTTTCCAGAAAATGTGTGTTCAAACGTGTATACACAGGCATTCACACGTGTGTGCACATACTCACACACACTCACACACTGCAGCATAGGCCACGGAGTACAAGGGGGTATCTCGCACAGCGTCCATCCCAGGGGGACAAATGTGGCAGGTGCAAAGGCAGCATAGAAATGATTACATTTCCTTAACTACCTGCAGCCCATTGACAAGTCCTTGAAGCAGGCAGTGACCTTCCTCTAGGGCCCCAACTGCCCGCGACGTTGACACTTTGCTAAGGACAAAAGGCAGTCCTAGCTGAACCGCCCTCCCCACTGCCAGGATCCCGTAAGTCTATTTTAACATATAAAAATTCCTTTGGAAACTCCCTTTAGTCTGCGGCCCTACCACCTTGAAACCCCCTCATCTTGTCTCATCTCAGAAGCTAAGCGGGGTCGGGCCTGGTTAGTACTTGGATAGAAACTCCCTTTATCTCTACCCCTGAGATACAGTGGGCTCCAAGCATGTGGCCCACTGCGACACACGTGAAGAGTCTCGTGACTCAGGTTTTATTAGACGGTAATAAATGACCCTTTCCTGACAAGAGCTAGCACCCTCAAGGTCCTGGAAAGCTTGCTTTCATATGCTCTCCGTAACCCCCTTCCAACATGAAAGTATGTAATAGGGGGCTCAGTGGGTTAAGTCTCTGCCTTCAGCTCAGGTCATGACCCTGGGGTCCTGGGATCGAGCCCTGCATCGGGCCTGCCTGGCGGGGAGCCTGCTTCTCCCTCCTTCTGCCTGCTATTCCCCCCGACTTGTGCTCTCTCTCTCTCCGTCTGCCAAACAAAGCTTAAAAAAAAAAAAAAGGTATACAATGGGCCACTCATCATGACCCCGGTGCGGATCTTTCTGCCCATGGGTCCCCCGTTCCTGTGCTTTAATAAAACATTTTTGCACCAAAGATGTCTCAGGATTCTTTCTTGGCTGTTGGCTTTGAACCCTAACGTCTTTCCTACGTCCGATAGCAACCTAAGGTCAAGTGCTGTTAAATGGAAGACACGGCTGGGCATTCGGGCTGCTTCTGAAGCTGGGCCATATGACCTGGAGGAAGGAGGGAGACTGGTCAGTCTGGTTTCTTGCCTCTTACAGAACACCTGGTGTAAAGGAAAATGCCAAAGTGTCCTACAGTTTAACTCAATTCTGACCTAGCTGCTGGGCATGAGTGCAGACCCCCTCCCCAGGCTGCCAGCCGGGTCCCACGAGACCGCCCCCACGTCCAAGCTGTCGCCAGCTGTAAGTCAGGGTTCCAGACCCCCTTGTCCAGCCATAATTTGCTAGAACGGCTCACAGAACTCAGGGAAACACCTCACTCCCGGTTACTGGCTCATCATAAGGACAGGCCTGGGGAACAGCCGAAGGAAGACACCCACAGGGCGGGCGGGTGTGTGGAAGGAGCACGGAGCTTCCAGGCCCTGCCCCCTGCCCGGGGACCACCCGTCCCCTGCCGGCACCCCCGTGTGCCCCGGAGGCTCCCGCACCCCTTCATTTCAGGTTCTTGGGGGGCTCGGGGCTGATGGGCTCGTCGCTCGTGTGATGGGCCCGGTCTCCAGCCTTCTAATCACATGTCGGGGCCCTCGGCCACCAGCCCCCAAGCTGCTCGAGTCCCCTGGGTGTGTGAAGCCGGGTGAGGCGCACCGGGGCTGGTCAGGGGCCCCCGCAGCTGCTCCTCTCGGCCCACCATGAAAGGGGACAGAACGCCCGGCGCAGCCGACAAAGCGGGCGGCGGAGGCCCTGGGCTGGGAGCTGGATGGTCGAGGGAAGGAAGGGTGGTCGCGAGCAGGATGCCCTGGGGCTGCCGGCCCGAGTGAGCCCCCGCCCCGGGGCCTGTCCAGCCTCGACGGCGCGACACCACTCCCCACCCTGGGCGGCGAGCCCGCGCTCCCCGCCGGACCGACCCACAGCCCGGCCCCTCCACGACAACGCCAGACTAAAGCCGGGGTTGGGGTCACCTCCCGAGCCCTGGCCGGAGGGACGTTGGGGTGGGGGTCGCTCTCGTGCAAACCCGCGCGGCCACGGAAAGAAGCGGGCCCGCTGCGGACGCGGCCCGGTGAAGCAGCCGGGGAAGCGCGCCCGGACCGCACTGGGAAGGCTCCGGCTGGATTCGGGGGTCACCCACCCCCTCACGGCGTCCGCGCCCCCGGGGCGGGCGCTGGTCGTCTCGGCGACACGGGAAAGCCCCGAGCGGCGCCGGCGTCAATCGCGGCCCACGCCCGCGTCCCTTAGTCCCGCTCCGTTCGCTCTCGCGCTGGGGGGAGAACGAAGCGACATCGGAGCCTCCCGCGCCCCGCTTCACGCGGACCCCTCGGTCCGAGCGCTCGCACCACAGCGCGCCTGCCGGTTGGGAGGCGCCGGGGCCGGCCTCTCCCCTGCGCGTGTTCTGCTCTGCGCGCAGACGCTGCGTCACAATCTCTTAAGGCTCGCGGACTTCCCACCAGCCAAGAGCGCCGCTGGTGTAGTGGTATCATGCAAGATTCCCATTCTTGCGACCCGGGTTCGATTCCCGGGCGGCGCAGTTCTGTCTTTTCCTTTTCTTCCCCCACTCGCTAACGACAGTGCTTCCGACAGGAAAGAAAACCGGAAACGAGGGAACACCCGGTCCGGAGCAACCCGGACGAGGCAATTTCAGAGAACTCTAGCGTGACAAGCGCTAGGAAAATGCCGGAGCGGCCGCGGGCCCCTGGGTACTGAGTTGCCGGTCACCTGTAAGCCTGCGACCCCCAACTCAAGCGACAGGTGCCCCCGCCGCGTTTGCCGCTCCCGGTGCGGTGCGCCTCCTGCAGCTGCGGGCCCTTTAAAGCCGGACTACCACTCCCGGCGGGCCGCGCGGCGCCGGACTACAACTCCCGGCGGGCCGCGCGGCGTCGCGCTACGGCGCCCGGTGGGTCTGGCGGCTGCGGACTGCGGCTACCGGCGGGCCGGCTGAGCTGCTGCGATGCTGGTGGCGGCGGCGGCCGAGCGGAACAAGGAGCCCATCCTGCGCGTGCTGCGGCAGTACATGGACCCGGCCCAGCGCGGCGTCCGCGTGCTCGAGGTGGCCTCGGGCTCGGGCCAGCACACGGCTCACTTCGCGCGGGCCTTCCCCCACGCCGAGTGGCAGCCGTCCGACGTGGACCAGCGCTGTCTGGACAGGTGCGGCGGGGCGCGGGGAAGGCGGGACCCCGGCCACTGAGGGGGCGGAGCGGGGGCCGGCGGAGCGGGGCCCGTCCCGCTGCCCGGCTCCCCGCGACCGTGCGCTGCCCTCCTACAGCATCTCGGCCACCACGCAGGCGCAGGGGCTGTCGAACGTGAAGGCCCCGCTGTACCTGGACGTCACCTGGGACTGGGAGCACTGGGGCGGGATCCTGCCGCAGTCGCTGGACCTGCTGCTGTGCATCAACATGATCCACATCAGCCCCCTGAGCTGCACGGAGGTCTGTGGGCGCGCGGGCGAGCCGCCCACCGGCGCCGCGGGGCCCCCCGCTCGGTGCGGGGCAGCGCGGGGCGGCAGGTCTGCCCCACAGCCCAGCGGGGGCACTGGGGCCTCTAGCCCCGGGCTCCTGCGGGGCCGGGCCGAGAAAGCCCCTCACTGACCCCCGCATCCTCACTCCCCAGGGCCTCTTCAGAGCAGCCGGACACCTGCTCAAACCCAAGGCGCTGCTCATCACCTATGGGGTGAGTGCTTCCGTCGGGGGCCACGGGCCTCCCCTGGCAGGGCGGCCCTGTTCCCAGCCAGTGCTGGCTGTGTCCTACTTTCCGCACTCCCTTCTCTTGGTGTCAGTATTTTTAGTTGCCTTGTCCCCTGACAACCCACCATCATTAAACGGCACCCAGAGTCTTCCTTCTTGAACACGCTCCCGGTCACCTGCCAGTCTCCCTGCAACCCACCCCCACCCCCGCCCAGCTCACCAGCTGGTCCTCAGCTGTCCCCCATCTTGGGGGCAGGGAGGGGTGCGTCCTTTTCATTCTCTGGGTGCCAGCGTGCAAGACTGCCTGTGCGTCGACGGAGGCATGGCTGACCCCATCTGTGGGTGGCGGGCAGAGCCGTGTTCCCCTCTCCGCAGCCTTATGCCATCAATGGGAAGATCACTCCGCAGAGTAACGTGGATTTTGATCTAACTCTTAGATGCAGGTCAGAGCTGGATTGGGAGAGGGCGGCTGGCTGGGGGGACAGGGGGGCTGGGCGACCACTCCAGCCACAACTCTACCTTCTTGTCCACTTCCTCCTCACTGCAGGAACCCTGAGTGGGGACTGCGGGACACAGCCCTCCTGGAGGACCTGGGCCAAGCCAGTGGCCTGCTGCTGGAGAGGATGGTACGTGGGAAGGGCTGGGGACACAGGGGACTTCCCTGGGGACCAGGTCAGCGCTCCAGCCAACCCCTCTCCCCTAGGTGGACATGCCGGCCAACAACAAGTGCCTGATATTCCGGAAAGAGTAATTCTCTCCTGCTCTCGCATGTTTGTGTCTCCACCAAGACCCCTTCTGGACCAAACCCAGATGCCAGCCCCTGCCTCCCAGGGCTGGGCCATGAGGACTGGCCTTGCCCACTCTGGGGGCTCTTGGCTGATGGCCACAGGGCTGCTTAGAACCTGGGAATAAAGTGTTTTCTGCTGCTCACTGCTGGTGTCACCCAGGCCTCGTGGGACCACTCCGGGTGGCGCTCAGTGGGCGGGCGGTGTCTTCAAGGGGTCTGCACTAGTGACAGAAGGGTCTGGCCTGTGGGGTCAAGGCTTGGGGGTCTCCTGGACTGTGCTGCTCTGCTGAGGGCACAGGGGAGGGAGGGAGAACTCGGGCCCTGTGGGTTGAGCTGGCTGCTGAGTTTCCCCGCAACAGGAGCAGGTGCGCATCTCAGGCTGGTCACAGCTCGTGCCCCTGCAGGGAAATGGGAGGCCGCAAGGAGCAAGCTTGCAGCGCAGCCCATGCTCCAGTGGGGGTAGCGGGATACCAGCTAAGGGACCCCGAGGAGGTCCAGCCCCTGTAGTCCACAAGCTCTGGGGAAACGCTGGCTTTTATTCCATGGGGCAGGAAGGCAGGGTGGGCAGACCAGGGTGGGGGGGCAGTGTGGGTGGGGTCAGTCCTGGAAGCGGTTCAGCAGCTCGCAGGCATTCTTCTCCAGCAGCTCCGAGATCTTCTTGACGCGCTTCTCGCTTGCGGCCCGGACGTAGCTGCCGGCGTCCAGCACGGCCACGCCGTCTCGCACCTCCCCCATGATAACCAGCGGGCCGTCGCCAGCCGTCACGTTGGGGCAGGGGCAGGCCCAGTCCATGCCGCTCAGCGTCACCTCCAGGTACTTGGTGCCCAGGAACCGGAGGCCCATCTTGTCGTCCTTGAGTACCTCGTCCAGGGCGACGCGGGCGATGCTGCCGCCCCCAGCCTCGGGCTCCTCCAGCAGCTCGGTGAGCCGCCCCACGATGGCAAAGTCGCTGCGGCACAGGCTCAGCGCCAGCTTGCTCCGCAGGCGGCAGGCCCGGCAGGGCGGCGTGCGTGGCACGGGGCAGGCGTCCTCGCAGCTGGCGCGGCTCTCGAAGTTGTTGCCGTTGCCCTCGCAGCCGCCATACAGGAAGGGGTGGCACTGCTGCAACTGCGGGCTGTAGGCCCAGCGCGGCTCCCAGCCCTGGCAACGCCCCTGCACGGCTGGCAGCACACACGCGTCGCCGGGGCCCTTGGCGCAGGCCTGCTGGCACGCCTCGTAGCTCTCGAAGCCCCGGCTGCCGCCCTCGCAGCTGCAGGCGGGGAAGGTCATGCAGCCCCCGCGCTGGGGGTCGAAGTGCCAGAGCACGAGGCCGGAGGGCGCGCTGCCGCAGGCCTGCGGGTCAGGCAGGCACTCGGCGGGGCCGGCGGGGGCACGCGCCTCGTCCCCGTCCCCAGCCGAGCCCCGCCGGAGCACAGACAGCGGGAAGTCGGCGCGCAGCAGGCCGGCGGCGTTGCGGGCGGTGCAGGTGTAGAGGCCCGCGTCCTCCAGCCGCGCGTTGTAAAGCACCAGCTGCCCGATGCTGGTGACCACCACGTTGCCGTACATCTGGTCCGGCCGCATGATCAGGGTCTCCCGCTGGTCGCTCTGCTTCTCCCAGGTCACCGCGGGCGGCGGGCGGCCGCCGACGTCGCAGTGCAGGCTGGCGGTGCCGCCCACGAACACGGCCTGCGGCGCCGGGCTGCTGTAGAGCGCGGGCGGCATGGGCGCGTGGCCGGGCGTGGGGCGGGCGGTGGGGTCGGGCGGCCCCGGGCTGGCGGGCGGCCAGCCGCGCATGCGCTTGCAGGGCACCACGTGCAGCCGCAGCCCGCGCCGGCAGGCCTCGGCGTCCATGTAGCAGCGGTTGTAGTAGGTGAGGCCGTCCGAGGCGCAGGTGAAGCTGGGCTCCCTCTCGCAGCGGTCGCGGCAGCGGCACGCCGGCTGCCCGTCCCATAGGTGGCAGGCGGAGCCCTGCTGAGGGCAGGGGAAGCCCTCGCACGAGGCGGGCGGCGGGGGCGCGGCCGGGCCGGCGGCGGGGAAGCGCGCAGCCACGCAGCTCTGCAGCCCGCACACGTTGGCGCAGCACTTCTCGTGGGCCGCACAGTCCTGGGGGGTGGGGAGCAGCTCAGCGGGTGCCCCCGCTCCGCCCGTCCACCGTGCAGGGGAGCTGAGCTGCCGCCGCCGCTCCCCAGCCAGCCGCCCACCCCGCGGAAAGCTCGGCACGCGGCCGACGCGTCCTTCCCGTGCTCTGCACCCTCAGACTGTCCGCTGTGTCGCGTCATCGAAGCCCGCCGGATCCTCGGGTCCTCACCCCCCGGAGCGGGTGTCATGGCACCCAAGGAGACCAAGGCCCCGGGTGTTGCGGGGGGGGGGGGGGGGGGGGGGGGGGCGGCACATGGACGTGTTCAAGGCCACTGCTGCAAGGGGGCGCTGCAGGGCAGATGTCCACGTGGGGCTCCCACCTTTCAACCTTGCTGGCCCTGAGAACAGCCGTTCCCAGGGTGGGGGTAGGCAGGTTTGGGGAGCGACACATGAAGGCAAAGACGGGGTGTTCCCTGAGACCCGCATATGCGGAACAGCCTAAAACCCCAGCTGCGGGACTATGGGGGGCCTGAGGAGGCAGCCTACTCCCAGGAATGGGGGCACAGGGCAGCTGCTGGGGTCCCCCTGCGGGCAAGGCCTGGGGTTCCCCTAGACTCATGAAGCCTCCGAGGTGCCCCGAGTCCCCCATGGTGTCTGACGCCTCTGCAGGGCTGCTGAGCACGGTGCCTGTGCTTACCTGGTCCCCGACGCACTCACGCTCACAGGTGCTCTGGGCGTCCACCCACAGGCTGGGGCTGAGCTGGTTGGGGCACACGCCTGGATGGCTTCGGGGTCCCGGCGGCAGGCTGGCCCCCAGGGTCAGCCCGACCATGAGGAGGAGCAGTAGGAGTGGCCTCGGCGCCAGCATGGGGACCGCGGGCCAGGGGGTGGGGGATGTGACCACCAGTCCCTCCTCAGGCGCTGCCTAGCCTCCCGGATGAAGGCATCTACCTCTCTGGGCCTGTGGTCGCTGCCCCTGCCCTGGGGCCCCCGCCTGGTCCCCAGGGTTCCCCCCTTGGCCTCCAGGGTCCGAGCCCACAGCAGAGGCTTCCTCTCCCAGTGTGAGGGGCTGGGTAGGGGCTGGGTAGGTTCGCCGCCTCTCCCAGCTCCGAGTCTGTGTGTGTGGCGCCGGCCCCTCCCCTGCCTGGCCCCTCTGTGGTCAGCACAGGGCAGGGGGTGGGGAGGGGAGGAGGGCTGGGGAGGGGCCGGGGCCGGGAGCACGGAAGACACTGGCCACGAGGGTCACGGATGGGCGGAGAAGGGCCAGAGAAGGGCTGGCTCCGCGGGGGAGGGGAGGGGAAGGGAGGGAGGGGCCTCTGTAATTGGAGCCCCTCCTCCCTCTAGGCCCTGGGCTGGGGATGGAAGGGCGGGGGGATCAAAGCTCCTCTCAGACCTGCCCAGTCCAGGTCAGAGGAGGGGGCTGGGCCGGCCGACCCCTGCTGGCTCCCCAACCTGCCCCAGCCGTCCCGGGGCCTGGATCTCCCCCAAAACAGGTCCAGACCAGCCTGAGATTCATCGTGTCCGGCAAGACGGAGGCCGGTGGGCGTCGGCCCGCAGCCGCAAGCAGCAGACATTGTTCCTCAAGAAAAATCTCACAACCTTCTCCGGGCCCTTCTCAGGGTTACGACCTGCCAGCAGGTCTTGGGGTCACAATGAAACCCTTTCTGCTAGTGGGGAGGCCTCGGGTGACCCGCAGCTGATGGAACTGAGGGTTGGGGGGGCCGACACAAGGCAGGACTCTGCATTTCCAGGGCGGCACCCGGCACGGCTCCCGGTCCAGGCATGTCCCAAAGATGTGAAGTCCCAGGGCGCTCAGCAGGGAGAAAACCGCACTGGCCGGGACACCGCCCGTCACACAGGCAGCAAACACCGGAGATGGGGCTGGTGGGACCAAGGACCTGTGGTTTACTCGGCCCGACTGAATTTCGGTAGCTGAAGCCCCACGCCACACAGCGCTGAGAGACCAAGGTCATCTAAACAGCACCCTGGGCAAGCCCTGGGAGGAGCCCTCCCCGAGTGGGGGTGGGGATGGAAGCCCCCCTTGGCAGGGCAGGCAGGAGATCTAAGGCAGCAGCAGGACTGAGCCCTGGGATCTGCCCTTCCACACCCTTCCCAGGGGCCTGGGGCCGGAGGAGCATCTGCTCTGCGACCAGCACGTCCCAGGGTCCTGCATCTGACCTTCTGACCTGGGAAGCAGGGTAGTAAAAGCCGAGTGTGGTCAGAGTGGGACCAAGAGATGTCCCGGATACGGAGGACGCATACCAAGGGGCCGGGGGCGCGGTGGGTTCCAGATCCAGGACAGTCCCTCAGAGCTGCCCAGAGGCCTGGGCTCCGGAGTGTGGGCGGGGCGTGGGGGTAGAGAGGCTCCTTCAGAAGGGTTCCCCAGCCCTCAGCACCCACCACACCCCAAGGACTGAGCCTCGCACACCCCGTCAGCGGGTGGCTTTCCCACCCCAGGCCCAGGTCTGGGTCCGGCAGGCGGCGACCCCCCAAGTCCTCTGTGCCCACCACCCTATGGCAGCAGAACCAACTTCGCAATTAGGCCCCACCTCCACAATCCGGGGTGGGGGGGCTCGGGCGTCCCAGGTGCCCCCTCCAGAGTGCAGAGGACTGCCTGTCGGGCTCCCCAAGAACTATGCAGCCCGGGCTTGCCTGCACAGCCCAGACCGGGAGCAGCCGGTGAGGCCAGGCCCCGGAGGCAGGGGTCCTCGCGTCACCTCCACCTGCCACTTGGCCAGTTAAATCCAGGGGCGCTCACGGACAGAAAACGCAACCTGCAGGCCGAGCTGAATTACGTTTACTGTACAAAGAAAGGAAAATCGTCCAAAACGAGCCCAAGAATGGTGTGTCAGACAGCAGCAAAGGGTAGTGTTGATAAAGTGAACAAAGGACTGTCCACGTCCTCAAAACAAAGTCTGTGTGACTGGGTTCAAAGTCCAAAGAAAGGGGTGCCCCCCACACAGGCAAGACAAGATAGGTGTGGCCTCCCTGCCTGGCCCGCTAAAGCCAGGCCTCCCTGGGGACCCCCAGTGCACAGGCCGAGGCCCCCATCCTGCCTCCCGGACACGCAGCACAGAAGAGTCCCAGAGCCCAGGGCGGGGCTGTGAGGACGAGGTAGAGCTGAGCACCAGTATGACCGGTGGCCATGTCGCCAAGCGGGCGGCAGGAGGGAGCCAGGCCTCCTGCTCAGGGCTGGCTGGTGGGGCCTCCAGGAGCGGCTCGGGGTCCACTGCCGGGATCAGTCCTGGCAGCAGCATGAAGAGATGTGTCAGACCGGTTTTAGTGACTGTGACGCCAGGCAAGGAGCAGCTGTGGGCTCACACCCAAGGCTGGCCCAGGGCAGCTGGCGAGAGCAGAGTCCGGGTGCCCCAGGGGACGAGCAGGCGGGTTGGCGTACACAAGCACAGCGCCCCGCAGCCCCACTGTCTTCTGCGTCTTCTCCTCCAAGGGACAGGAGTGTCTCGGGAATGGGGGTGCAGAGCCCCACCCACCTCCTCTGAGAAACACCAGCAGTCCTACTGGGAAACCAAGCCCTCACCCAGCCCTGAGCCCGTCCACGACGCGCGGGACCGTGTCTAGGGGGGCTGGCGGGAGCCCAGGAAGCTGCAGCCATACCTAGCCAACCACTGGGGCCAGAGCCGCCACCAGCCATGCTGGGGTGCACCCCGGCCCCCATGCTCTCAAAGGCTGGCGGAGGCAGCCATGGGCCCGAGCACACAGCCCGAGATTCCACGTGCCCCCCCGCCCACCCCCCCGCCCAGCCCACACACCCCGCGTGAAGTGTCTGTGAATTCCAAGGTTGGAGCCCTGACCAGGACTCCTCTCTACCTCTGCCTCAAACCCCTCCCTCTCCACATGCCCAAAGCCTGCCCCAACCCCACCGCCGACAGGGCTCCCCATGCAGCCGCGTGGAGGCCGCCCTGCCTGCGTGTTACACATGTACAAAAAGGTGAACATCTTCCGTATAAAGGAGGAAGGACGGGCGCCAGGCTCCCGGGTCCTCAGGCAGCCCCCTGGAGGCTGGGGCCGGGCAGGGCCACCCCCGGGATGCCTCCCAGCCGCACCGCACCGTGGGGCCCCGGGGGACCTGTCTGGCTGCGACCACCGGCTGCATTGCGTACCCCCACGCTCCCCGGGAGGCGGCGTGGCCACAGCCCTCCCTGACACGGCGCCCGGCCAGACGCGTTCCCCAAGCGCGAGCCCTCGCAGAGCGCACCGGACGGCGGGCACCCAGCCTGCCCGCTACGAGATCTTGCAGTTGCTCCTGGAGCAGTTCTGGGGCGGGCTCTGGGGCGGGCGGATGGACTTGGACCTCTTGAGGCTGTTGCCCTTGCTGCTGCCTCCTGCCCCGCTGGCCAGCGAGTAGGAGCGGCCGTGCATCATGACGGCGTTCATGCCATTGGCCATGGAGAAGGACTTGAGGTGGCTCTTGATGGTGACCGGCAATGGGAGCTTGTCGATGAGGTGCACGGGGGTACAGGACACAATGGCCCGACAGCAGAGGTCCTGCAGGCTGAACACTACACGTGGGGGTCAGACCACGGTGGGGAGAAGGGAGGTCAGACGGCAGGGAATGCAGAGGTCTGCCAAGCCCTCGGGGTTCCCCTGCCCTGCACCCTGGACGCCCAGCATGCCACCCTAGTCGCCAGTGCCCTGGCAGGAGACGGAGGCTTCTGACCACCCTGGCCCTTCCGGCAGCTCAGGTGGGACGGGGCTCAGGCTGAGGGACAGGGAAGCACACCGCCACAACCGTTAGGGGTCGGCTCTAGGGGGCAGGCTCCGAAGACACACTCTTTTCACTCTGGGACAGGGCCCACGGCACGGCCTCCCAACCCCCAGGTTCAGATAGGGCATCCTGCACGGTCCCCTCCTGGAACACCAGGAACCCCACACAGAGCTGGCTCAGCCGCCCAGGCACTGGGAAAGCCGCGGAGGAGACCTGGCCTCCCCTGCGACCCAGGAGGCGGGCCCCTGAGCAGGCAGCTGGAGGCCCAGTCTGTTTCCACTTTCTGGCCCGCAGCCCTGACAGCCCCTTACCTCGGTTGGGCCTCCAGATCTTCTCCATGCCATGCCTCATGAGCACGATGCGGGACAGCTCGGTGAAGGACTCGATGACATTGAAATTGCACAGTGGACTGACCTCAAAGAAGGTCATGCCATTCTTCTCTGCGTAGGCACGCGCCTGCTCTGTTGGGACTTGCCGCTTGAAGGCCAGGTGCAGCCGGTTCCCAACCAGGATCCGGGGAACCCCAGGTGCATGCTTGGGGGGGACACAGGACTCAGCAGAGGCACGACACAGGACACCCCCCCCCTTGGCCCTGTCTCCCAGGCCCCAAAGTGGGCAGGGCCCTCACTGTCTGTTCTGTGGCCATCCAGTGCTATGGGGACACAGAGCTGGGCCCTCCAAGCTTCCTGCTGGGGAGGGTAGCGTGTACACCTGGGAAGGGCGACCCTGAAGGGCCCTGTGCGGGCACACGCCTACCTCATCGATCTCCTTGATCCACCGGTCTATGCCGTCAAAGGACCAGCGGTTGGTGATGTCATACACTAGGAGGATGCCCTGCAAGGGAGACGCAGGCGTCAAGAAGCCAGGGGCCGCCTGGATGGAAGAGGTCCTGCTCCAGGCACAGCGTGGCCCGGTACAGCCAAGCGCCGCTCCCTCCCAGCACAGGGGACACTTGGTTCCAGCCACCGGCTTTCAAGCCGACCGTGTGGGTCACTTGAGGGAAATCTTGCCGTGAGATCCCGCCACGTTTCCGAGGCACAGCTGGTATGAGCTCTGCACGCAGAGTCTGGCCCGCTCTGCACCCGTCTCCTCACTGAGGCCAGGCTGTGGGCACGGACAGCCTGCGTGTGGGGCCGTGGCAAAGCGGAGCTCCGGGGCTCAGTGCTGCCCCCCCCATCTTGGGCACTTGGCTGGGACAAAAAGCATTTTTTCAACTTTTCTGTTCCAGACACACTGTAAGCATCAGCCTGTGATCATTTAGAAATCACTCAAGTGGGACAGGCAGTCCACGCAGGTCTACGGGTGCGGCAGGCAGACGGCAGCTGGGTCCCCGACACGCCATCCCACTGTGTGCTGGCTCTGGCTGGGGCACCGGGGCGCTGAGCAGAGGGGGCTCTGCGCTCCAACCCAAGCTTGTGGAGCAGGACGCCAGTCACTGCAGCAGGCCCCCACCAGCCGGGCCGGTGATTTGCTACACGGATTGTCCTGTCACATCCCCCAGAGACCCATCAGCCGGAGCTCAGGTCTGGGCTGTGGGCACCTGCATGGCTCGCCCGGCATGCCTGCCCTAGATGTCTCAGGGACCTATCACAAGCCTCGGAATGGCAACAGCACTGAGCGAGGGCAGCTGCCAGCCCCTGCCTGTCTCTGCCCTCGGGGCGCCATGCCCAAGCGGGCCCAGGACCCACCCGTCCCGCCCCAGCAAGGCTCTGTTCAGCCCGTGCCCCCATCCCACACAAGACAGTGCCGCTGAGATCAAAGAAACAAGGCATCCTCCACCTCAAATGAGCCTTTCTTCTCAAATCTGTCCTCCCAGTTCTGGGAGACAAGTATAGCTCTGAGGTCTTGTAAGCACAGAGGTCAAAATCCCACTCTCTGGCTGGAGAACCTCAAGCAGGGCAGCACAGAGCCACCTGCCCACCGGGGAGGGACACTCGCTGGGGAGGGAGAGCCTTCAGGGCTGAAGGCCACAACCCACATAAAGCCAAGGGCTAAGACACACATCTCGGGGGCACTGGAGTCAGACTGGACAGGTCCCCAGAGCAGCTGGGTGTGAACCCGGCCGTCTGGGGCGCAGGGAACAAAGCCTCCTGCTGGAGGGCAGTGAGGGCACGCCGCCGACCCTCCAACCTGGACCAGCCCTTCTAGAAATAACCGAGGAGGTTCCCATCAGAACGGCGCCTCCGCGGCCGCCTGGGGGGCTCAGTGGGTTAAAGCCTCTGCCTTCGGCTCGGGTCATGATCCCAGAGTCCTGGGATCGAGCCCTGCGTCGGGCTCCCTCGTCAGCAGGTGCCTGCCTCTCCCTCTCCCACTGCCCCTGCTTGTGTTCCCTCTCTCGCCATCTCTCTGTCAAATAAATAAATATTTAAATTAAAAAAAAAAGAAAAAAGAAAAGAAAAGAACTGTGCCTCCACGTCCCAGGACTGCAAAGGAAGTCGAGCTACAGACACGGCACAGCGATGACCCCCGCAGACCCTGAGAGACACCAGCACACGACGACGCACGGAGGAAAGCTTCCGTGCACAACCACACGCTGGAAGGCCGGGCAGTGTCTATTCTGGCTCCTGCTCCCCTGTGTGAGGCTGAAAGGCTCCCGCAAGCGGACAGAAGCTCCTCCCTCGGGCCCAGGCGTCCGCTGTACCCCTCGGCAGAGGGAGAATCCCTGGCTGCCCCTCCCAGCTGGCACCAACCTTCAACGACCACCCCCTTCTGGGGCGGCCCCAGTCTGACAGCTTGGGGTCTGACAGAGGCGATACCCACGCACACCCGTCATGGGGAGGAAGGACACACAGCGGGTCACACTGTAGGCAGCAGGGACCAGAAAAGATCACGGATGCGGCAGGGAAGGACAGGTGGAGGTGGGGTCAGGCACAGGCAAGGTTCCCGGTGACCAGGATACCCCGCGGGGTTCCAGTGTCGGCCATGCGGCCCGAGGGAGGAGGGGCAAGTAAACTGCCACTAGGTTCTGTCCTTGTCATCAGTGAAACTCACACGTGCCCAGACTTTCTAAATGAGTGGGTACCCCAGGACATCAACAGAATTCCTCCCCACCCGTCCAGGAATGACCAGTTCCCGTCTCATTCCTGACACGGACAGGGTCCCAGTGCACCCTGCCTGGCCCCCGCCTGGCGCCCCTGCCTGCAGCGGCCAGCACCCCACGCCAGCCTCACGCGGCAGGACCACTGCTGGCGCTCAGGGCATTTCTCCCACGAAAAGAGCCCACAGGCCCTGGTCGGTAAAATCCCTACAAGTGAGACTGCGGGCCCAGGGGTTGGGGCCCTTGTTCTATGCAAGTTATTTCCACTGACTTAGGAGAGCACACACGTGTGTCGGGGGCAGAGGGAGAGAATCTCCAGCAGACTCCCCACTGAGTGTGGAGCCCAATGTGGGGCTTTATCTCACGACCCTGAGCTCATGACCTGAGCTGAAACCAAGAGTCCGACACAGAACTGACTGAGCCCCCCAGGCACCCCCAGGTCGTTCCTTCTGAGCCACAGCCTGTCCCTCAGAGGAGGCGCGGATCCAGAGTACGAACAGTCTGGTGAGTTTGGACAAATGAACGTGCCTGTGCCAGCGGCACCCCGACCCAGGTGCAGAAGGCGTCTCCAGGAACGTAACTGCCGGCACGTGTAACACACTTTGTCTGGTCCAGCTCCCAGGGAACAGCCGTGAGGGACAGCCTCTCCTACACTCCACAAGAAGCACCGACAGTGGGAGCAGCTATCAAACAGCACCCATGTGCCAACCTACCTGGGAAGGGACAGGTGGCAAGCCCGTGCCCTCAGCAGCACTCCATTCACAGTACCTGTGAGCCCTGGACCATTTTCCACAGGAAACCCCTTTTCATGGAAATGAACTGAACCTTCTCTAACCAGACCAGTGCCGATCCAGCTCAGCCCAAAGCCCCCCCGAAACAGAACCTCCCCCTCCCCCAGCTCCCTCCTTGCACTGAGCCCAGGGGACCCCAGTGGGCAGTGCCAGCCTCCCAGGGCCGTGAGTGGCCACCTCAGACCCCAGCAACAGCAAACATGGGCCACGGAAGAAAGCACCCATGGCAAGGGCCCCAAGATAGCCGTTGCAGGGCAGGTGAGAGCAGTCAGGAGCTAGCCAGGGGCTTCTGGGACCAGGGCCCTCGGGGACCTGCAAGGCCTCTCTCTGGTCTTCAGTGAGGGTAGGAGAGTGACAAGAAGCTCAAGGAGAGGCCCCAGCTCTCTGGGTACCGTCCACTGCACACCCAGGTAGGGGCCCCCTGCAGACCCCGGCCCCTGTTCACTGCCAGAACCCAGTGGGACGAAAGTACAACAGGCGCTCACGGCCACCACCCACCTCCGGGCCAGAGATCTGCCATGGGCTCCTCTGGCCCCAGAACCATGAGAACCCCCAGAACCAGCAGAGCCAAAGCAGGACCCGGGCTGATACTCTAGAGAGAACAGATGTGGTAACGCATGATCGGGCAACCGTGCCGGCTCCTGCTTCCTCCTGCGGCGCTCAGAAGTGCGAGTCTGTGGTCAGCCCCAGGCCGACACTCGGCTGAGGCCAGGGGCGCAGTACCACACCTGAGGGGGCTGGCCCCAGCTCTTCACTTTCCTTCCGATGACAAAAGTAATGTGTTTATTGCAGTAAAACCAACAAATATTCAAACGCGAGAGGAGCACAGCCGAGCTCCCAGAAGCCGCAGGTGCACAACAAGGACCGCCACTGTTCACGTCTCGTCTCATGTGTATAAAATCACACGTGCGGTCCTCTCCTTAAGGAGGATGGGCCGGGCACTGTGCTTCTGCGTGCCTCAGCTCTCCCCACACTCGCCTGAAGGGCTGTTCCTGCTACTTCACCTCAGCCCTGGTGCCACCGGGCACACTGACAGGCGCCCCAAGCTGCACCCCTGACCCCGAGGTCCTACTGTGTTCCGTCACAGAGGAGCGGCTGCTCCCGGGGGAACCGCCAGTGACACACCTGCCCTGCAGGGCGCCCCCGACACTGGCGGGGGAGACTCTGGACAGGGGACATCACCAAGCCAGCGGTACGGCTCACACTTCTGGGCCAGCTCCCAGGACAGGAGCCCGCAAGCCCAGCCTGGGGCTCTTCCACCCGCTCTGCACGCTGGAGAGACTCCCCCTGGAGAAAGGGATGGGTCGTCTGCTCCTGTCAACACCTACTCAGACTCGGTCTGACTCTATCACGGACCAAGTGTCCCTCTGGCTTCCCAGCTCCCATAGAGCAGAAAGAGTGGCACGGGGCGGGGGGGTGGGGGCGCGCTGGACATTAATCACTGCTCACAAAGCAAAACAGATCCCCATGGGGCTCCCCTCCCAGCCCCAGCCAGAGTGTGTGCGGGGTACCAGGCAGCCCCCTGCAGCCCGCACCCCACACGGCCAGGGGCCCCGGCCTGCCGTGCACAGCAGGTCTGACGTCAGGGGTCTCCTTGGCAATTCCAAATCCTGGGGGGTCATGGCCTGCCCTGCAGCACAAACAAGACTGCTCCTGCGTCCACACCACTCAAAAATGACACGGCAGTGAGCACCTAGAGATGTGAGCACACAGCCACCTTCCTTTCTCTTCCTAGCCTCGAACCACACACATCCAGCCGGCATGTGAGCATGCTGGAGGGAGCCCAGAGGACACAGAAAGGTGGGGGGTGTCCATGCCTGTGCACACTGCCCAGCCCTGCCCCGCTGAGGACCCGCGGCAGCCCCTTCCACGGTGGCTCCAAGGCTCAAGCCCTGCCATCCTAGTCCGTGGTCCAGGCCGGCCCACCCTGGAGCCACCAGGCAGCCCCTCCATCAGCACATCCCAGTCCTGGGACTCAGAGAAGTCACCTCTTCTTCCCAGGGAACCAGGTGACTGAGCGGCATGTCCGAGGGTCTTGGCACCCATTCTCTGGTGCCTCCTGCAGCAGGAGCCAGAGGAGCCGATAGCCACACAGGGTACCCAGGCTTAGACTTCCAGTAGGGTCTGACAGCACAGCTGCAGGGGGTCACCCCAGGTCACGGCACCACACGGTCGCTAGGCTTACCTGTGCACCCCTCGAGTAGGACCTGAAGATGGTGCAGAACCTGCCTTGGCCAGAAGTGTCCCTGAAACACAGAGGGGTTGGGGGACGCGGCCCGTGGGACCCCAGCATGCCCAGTGTCCTCCCTGCAAGGCACCCGCCCCCCAGCCCTTCCACAGCGCACCCTGGTGGTCCTCCGTGGGTCTGTGTGTCTCAGAACCTTGCCCTGTGGGGCTGGGCAACCCTACCCTGCGAAAATTCCCGCCTCCCGCAGAGGTTCCAGAAAGCGCTTGCTCTGGAGCCCAGTGAAGGGCAAGGGTAGAGGGCCGTGGTCATGGTGGAGATGACGTTTATGGGCCAGAGTCAGACCATGCAGCCCAGACTCCTGGTTTCTGCATCACAGTCCGTTCCACGGGGACCCAGGGTCTGTGCAAACGGCTGCTCCCATCAACAGGACTCCTGACTCGCCTTGGGCATCATGCAGGGACCCTGGGACGCTGCGGTCCCTGCCCCGGCACCTCACCCCGCAGGGCCTGACTCACCAGAGCTCCAGCTTCACCCGCCGTCCGTCCAGCAGGATGGTGGTCGTCTTGTAGTCTATTCCTAGAAGGAAGCAGAAGGCAGCTGCAGGCAACGCGTGGGGAAAGGCCCATGAGCCTGTCCAGGGCCGAGGGCCGTGTCCACCCCCCCACCCCGACCCTACCTGTGGCTTCAGCCCAGCAACCCAAGCGGGCCACCCCGGTGTGGCCCCAAGAGCCTGTGCTGGGTGCTGACAGACGTGGTGCAGAGGGAGGGAGGTTCATCTCCGTGCTGACCTACATCGTGCCGGTCCTGACACCAACCTCCCAGAAGCTCAGCGTGTCTGGGTTCTTGGGTTCACCACAGCCCCCGGGGTACTGACAACTGGAGCGTGCCGGGAGCACGAGGAAGGGCCAAGTAATCTCTAAATGCCGTCTCGGGAGCACTCTCTGCAGAAGCCACACCTACCCTAGCTCCAGGTTTTATTTTTTTACTCCTTTACGGGACGAGGTCAGTCCATGAGAAGATGGTAGGAGTAGGGACGCTTCGCCAACGTGCAACATCTTCAAGCGGTCTGTGGGCCACCCAGAGACTTCCCACAAGCTGTGTCTTCCCTCCCCTACTCCTAAGCCTTGGAGAAGATCATCAGCTTCCTGGCTTTTTGTAACACTTGCCCCAGGAGGGCTTGAGAATGGGCTTTTGTTTTAGGTTTCTTTTTTATTTTAAGATTTTATGTATTTGAGAGAGTGAGAGCGTCAGCAGAGGGAGGGACAGGCAGAGGGAGACAGAATCCCAAGCAGGCTCTGCACTGACGTGGAGCTCAACGCAGGGCTCGATCTCATGATCCTGAGATCAGGACCTGAGCTGAACCAAGAGTCAGACACTCACCTGATGGGGCCATGCAGGCACCCGTGGTTTTTTGTGTGCTTCTTAAAAAACGTTACGTATGTCTGCATGCATTTGAGAGCCAGAGCAGGAGCAGCAGCGCAGGGAGAGGGAGACGCAGACGCCCGCCGAGCAGAGAGCCTGCCGCAGGGCTCCGTCCCACAGTCAGCCCTGAGATCCAGAGTCACGTTCTCCCCTGACCGAACCAGCCAGGCGCCCTCGAAATGGGCATTTTCAATGCAGGTGTTGTTCACACACGCACCGTGCGCCCCCAGCACCCCCTCGCTGTCCTTCTGCCAACAGCCAGCTGCGCGTGAAAACCCGGCTCCCGTGCACGAGAGGACACTGACGGCGTGAGAACGGAACCGACAGAGCGGGAGAAAGCGTATCCGATAAAGGACTGCTATCCGTAACACAGAAAGAAATGCCACAACTCAGCAACAAAAACCACCCAATTAAAAAATGGGCAAAAAACCTGAATAGACATTTCTCCAAAGAGGATACACACGCGGCCAATTCGCACGTGGAAAGGTGCTCAACCCCACTCATATTGGGGACCGCCCTGGTGAGAGGCCACCAAGCACCGTTTAGTTATTATAAGAAAAACAAACAGAAAATCACAGGTGCTGGCAAGGGGGTGGGGAAGGGGGCGGCCACATGGAAAACGGCCTGGTGGCCCCAGGTTGCTGGGGCACAGAGCTGCAGGTCCACACCCGCACTGCCCGCAGCACCGCTCACAACCGCTGAAAGGTGGGAACAGCTCGTGTGTGCATCAGCAGACCAAGGGTCAGTGGGGTCTGTCTGTGCACTGGACTATCAGCCTGAACGGGGTGGACCCACCAACGCGGGCTCCACGGGGGGTGGGAGGACCCTCGAGGGCAGTCAGACAAGCCTGTCGCAGGGAGACAAACTCGGCGGGCTTCCCCTTGCCCAGGCCCCTCCCGCAGTCAGATCCCCTCCACCAGGGACGGGGGCTGGTGGGGCGTCAGCAGTTCCTAGGCACAAGCTTCGGTTTGGGAAAATGGAAAAGCCCTGTGGACGGACAGTGGTCGTGGTCCCACGGCAGCGGGAACACACTGCACGCTATTTAGAGCTGTGCAAAACCCCCAAAGAGGGAGAATCTTCCATGGCCCCACGAGGCCTCCCCTACATTCTGTGGCCATCCTAGACACAAAAACCAGAGGCAAAAGCCTGAGCTTCCGCCTCACACTTGCCCTAATTTCAGATGGCGAGGAGCTCGCCTCGGGGTCTGCAGATCGGGCCTGCCCTACCCTCGGACGTGGCAGGGCGCCGTACCCCCCAAGCCCTGCCAGGAGCGGCCCCCATGGACGGCTGAGCAGCCCATGCGAGGGGACTGAGGAGAGCGGACAGCGGGGCCCAGCCGCGGGCCGAGAGCCTTGACAGGGCGGAGAGCCCCAGGCGGACAGGTTCACGGGGGCACCAAAATGTCAGATACCCTCATGCCCACCCTGCCCCTCATCCCCACCCCCAGATCCACACAAAAACGTACAGGGCACTTCATAAAGTCTTGGAACACACAGACCAACAGGTCCAAAGAGAGGCCATGCCCTCAGCAAGGACGGGGGCCGACCGAACGTCCCTGCTCTGCCGGCGCCGGCGAGTCCCAGTCTCGAGTCTGCTGCTGCAGAACGGCTGTCACCCCACCAGTCCGTAGCACGGAGCACCTCCCTGAAAACCCCTGCGGAACACGACCACCCCGGAAGCCCGGGCGTGACCGCGAGAGCGCCACCCGCCGGGGCTCGGAGGACCGCCCGGGGGGCTCTCGGGGCTGACCTGGACCCTGGAGGACCCGACGCCCAAGCTGATGGCGGCAGCGCACACGCAGGGTGCGGGCCCCCCGGGTGACCCAGTCTCAGGTCCCCACACTCTCTGGACAGGCACAGGGCACCGGGAGGCCAGTGGGCCGCTGCGGCAGCCGACCCCAGCCCCGGGCTGGCAGCGGCTCCGCCGATTCCCGAGCCTTCCTCCACGCCCGCTGTTTCTCCAACAGCTGCTGGAGCCTGGCACCGGCCCAGGGTCTGGGGTCTTCTCCCCGTCGCTTTCGGGGACTCCAGCTCTCCCTCCACCCACTCGGCTGACGTGGCGCGCACCCGGCAGGCAGCCCACCGGCAGGCAGCCCACCGGCAGGCAGCCCGTTCCTCCGGCTCGGCGCTTCCCTCCGGGCCCCGGGAGCCGGCCGCGCTGCCCCGCTCCCCTCCGCGGCTCCTTCCAAGCTGCCTCCCAGAGGCTCTTCCCGGCCCTCTGAACGCTCCTTTCCACGACGCCCCGTCCCTAGTTCTGGGACCCAGCTGAGCAGTGAGTCTGCTTCTCCCTCTGCCCCTCCCCTTCCCCCTGTGCACATGCACATTCTCCCCCTTTCTCAAATAAATAAAATCTTTTGGTTTTTTTTTTCCTTAAAGATCTCATTTATTTATGACAGAGAGAGACAGCAAGAAAGGGATCAGAAGCGGGGGGAGCAGGAGAGGGAGTAGCAGGCTCCCCGCCAAGCAGAGAGCCCGAAACGGGGCTCGTTCCAGGATGCTGGGACCATGACCTGAGCCAAAGGCAGATGCCCAATGACTGAGCCACCCAGGCATCCCTCAAAAAAAAAAAATCTAAAAAAAAAAAAAAAAAAAAAAAAAGGATTCTTTCTGTTCCAGCTGATCCCTGACTGCAGCCCAAGAGAGACCTCATGAGGACCCAGCTGCGCTGTGATGGGTTTCTGACCCACAGAAACTGCTGGGAAGTGGGTGCTGCTTTAAGCCCCTCATCTTGCGGTAATTTCTTAGTCGGCTTGGGGCCCTGTGCCAGAGTGCCATCATCCGGGCGGTTTACACACAACAGAGACAGACTTCTCATGCTCCAGGGGCTGGAAGCTGGAGACAAGGCGCCAGGAGAGCCTGCATCCAGGGAGGGCCCCCGTCCTGGGTCACCAACAGCAGGAGGGGCCAGGGGCTCTCTGGGTCTCTCTGACGAGGGCACTGACCCCATTCCTGAGGCCCCACCCTTGTGACTCAGTCCCTTCCCAAAGGCCCCACCCCTGACCATCACCTGGGGGAGTTAGGTGTGCAGACAGGAACCCTGGCGGACACCAACACTCAGTCCAAAGCAAGAACGAAGACCGGCGGGGTCTACCAGAAGCGCAAACACGCACTCCTCCGACCAGCTACCCAAAATCTACCCAAACCAGAACAACACGGACAGCTTCCCAGGACGGTGTGCTGGGCAGAATAAGGCCCCAAGCCGCCCCTGCAGATGTCCTCCCTCTAATCCCTGGAACCTGTGGCAACGTATCCTGCAAGGGGAAGGGACCTTGCAGGTGTGACTGGGGGATGCGCCTTGAGACGGAAAGGGTCCTGGGTTATCCGGGCGGGCCCGAGGTCATCAGCAGTCCTTAAAGATGGGGACTCTTGGGGCGCCTGGGTGGCTCAGTGGGTTAAAGCCTCTGCCTTCGGCTCAGGTCATGATCTCAGGGTCCTGGGATCAAGTCCCGCATCGGGCTCCCTGCTCAGCGGGAAGCCTGCTTCTCCCTCTCCCACTCCCCCTGCGTGTGTTCCCTCTCTCACTGTGTCTCTCTCTCTGTCAAATAAATAAAATTGTAAAAACAAAAACGAAACAAAACAAACTGTACAGATCTGTACAAGAACGTTCATACCAGCGTTCTTCATAGCAGCCCAAATCAGGGAATGACAAGGGACCAGAACCATGCGGACAGGGGTACAGGAGTGCAAGGGAACGCTTCTCGGGAACAGGACAGACGGCTATGTGTGTGCCCCACGTGAGTGAGTCTCACACTATCCTAGAGAGTGACACAAACCAACAGCGCTCACGACTCAATTTACAGGAAGTTCTGGAGAGGCAAAAGCAACCTTACAGGGACCCGAAGCAGGCCGGGGGCTGGGGCTGGGGGCTAGACTTCCAGGAGCCACGAGAGAACTTTCAGGGGCAACTGGAAACAGTCCATACCCTGATTAAGGCAATGAATATACAGGTACGTGCCTGTTAGAGCTCCCTGAACTCTGTACTCAAGATGGGGCCACTTCATTGCATGTAGATTGTATCTCAATAAAACTTATTTTAAAAAAGGAAACCCGCAGGACATCGACCTGCGCGGAGTTTAGGTCAATAGGTCTTCTGAACACGGGGTTCTGCACAGACGGGAGCTGTTCACGAACACCCGTCCCCTAGCACGCTGAGAA